CCGAAAATGAAGAATATATTTACAATTTAATAAAAAGCGCTAGAACATTAACTCTTAAAGTGCTGAGTAAATCGGGAGGATGGAATTCATTTTTACTGCATTAGAGAGAGCATTTAGTAATGAAAAGCTACCAGAAAACTTTGAAGCAAATGTATTACAGTTGATCCCTGATATAGTGAACAGTCTATGAGACCAGCACTAAGTTCACTATATCCGAAATATATGAAAAATATTTTTTAGCATATTGCTGTAGTATATCGTTGGTAATGGTGATTGCGATGGCGCATAATTTACTTCATAAGCTGTTGACCAACTAAATATGTAGAGTTTCTCTACAATATAGTTTCCTTACAATGAACTTCTCCCTATAACGAAATTTTAAATCGGAACAATTAGAATATTCACCATATGATGAAGTGGTTTATCTCTCAGTATTGAATTTTTCAGAAGCTTCATCATTTCAAGTTTCGTCATTTTTTGTATGTTTATTGTCTTTATTTCCATTATTTCTGAAGAAAGTTCCAGTTAAAAGTTGGAATTTCTAAAACAACCAATTCGCTCTCCCGTGGTGCCTGTTTTTTGAAGCACTCGTATCGTTGATAATAGCGATATGACTCATTTTAAAAACTCCTTTATAATGCGTCTTACTTCATTTTTTTTAATTAAAAGTCATAATTATGCACTTTTAAATTTTGTAACATTTATTTAAATTCTTACAAAAAAGGAAATTTGAGTCCACTATGAAGGAATTACCATTTTCTAAGCCGTTCACTATAAGCGGATGTAATTCCGTTAATCAAATAACAGCTCAGAACAGACCATTAAAAGCGTTCAATACAACTGAGTGTTCACTATATCCCAGGTTCACTATAGCAACTTCAAATTTCGACTACTACTTAAAAATGAAAGGAGTTACGAATTTTGAAATATTAAAGCACATTAATGGGTCGGATATGTGATTTGAAACGTTAGATAATCAAACATAATCTCATATAAATATTAGACAAGCAGATAATTGGTTTAAACCTCTATTATTAAAGAAAGAGTGCGACTTTTGTTTTACTTTGAGAGCCAATGTAAAGAAGAGTGAGCAAAAAGTGTTTAAGAACAAATTTAAAAACGTAACTAAAGTATTTTTTAATGAGAAGAAAAATAAAAAATTAGGGATTTATGCTTAAATAAATACCATCCACTTTAGGCTTGCCCTCAATCTAAGAGACTTAGGAAAGAGAGGAAATTGTAAAAAAAATAAATTATATTTTGAATGTTTATCACCCATGTTTTATTTTGTTTTATAACAATCGTTAAACAGCCGACCCAATTTTGAACTAGCGGATGAAATAACATAATTAGTCAATCGGCTATGTTTATCCATAGCCACCGAGAAATAAGGTCGTTGAGATCACCGAGGTCTTTTAGTGACGTCACGAACGGTAGTTCTAAACTGATTAACAGCGAATTTTAAATATTTGTCTTTGAACAACAGCTTCGTTTTCCCGTCGGTTATGCTTTTCCTTATATATTCATCATAATAAAATTTTTAAGAGTGCCATAAACATGTCTAATACCGAGATGTAAAGGGTAATTATAAAAATGGACCTAAAAGTTTCACTTTACGAATTCCTCAAAAATTCGGAGTTAAAACGAAAATGAATACATTCAATTAAACGTGACATTTATCAAGTAGCAGCTAATAGTCGATTTACGTTAATTATAAAAATGTTATATATATATGCGCCGAAATGTTATTTATCTTTTATTTGGTATTATTCGCTTTTTTTACGCTTTACAATAAACTTCTTAATAACATAATTAAAGAAGTCTTATTTAAAATTATAATGTTTTGGGTATCGATCACAGTTTGTTAGCGAATATTATAATATAAAATTAGCAAGACATTTGTACTTTCGCAAAACTTTTGGTCCGGAAATAAAACAGATTTAAGCATAATTTATTTTGTATAAATATTTATAAATTCGGACCAAATATAAAACTATGACATTAAAGATCTGAAATTTTGATTATTTAATAAACTAGTAAAATAATAAATAGTTTCATGTTTAATAGAAAAAATTAATAACAATGATTATTTGCACTTGAAGCTTATTTATTTTTAACGATAGCCTACTTTCATGTTTCTTAAGTTTCATAAATATACTTGAATGCAGAAAAACTACAATGCATTAAATGATTGTAGTAAAAAAAAAAAGTTTAAGTCACGATTAGTCATTTAAAACCTTTTGGGCTACTATTTAAAACTAGTTTAAATGAAACTGTTGTTCATGCTTCATGTGGCATGATTCTTTCTTACACAGATAAACTGCTTTTGTGTATACTTTTGTGCAAACCCTTTTTTTTTTCTGCATTAACCAAATATAGACAAAATTAGCGAAAAATAATTTATTGCTTTGATTCAATTTTTAAATAATTCCGAACACACTGAAAAAAAAATTCATATCTCTATTTGCATTATTTATTACGTTTTGGGGATCTTTTGGCAAAAAAGCAGTGGTTTTTCCAGATTTAATTAGATTATCTAAATTATGTTTTGCCGCAAATTAACATTTAATACCAGTTGTGGACTTATGAATAATAAATCTTAAATTTATATTTTAAAACAATAAATATTATATTAAAGGTTTGCAACCTTAAGGGTCAAAATACTTCGTTAATTTATTCGATTTATTTTTATAGTATATGCGTCGTTTATGTTTAAATTATTTTCACATAGAATTTAAAAGTCTTTCGTATGGTTCTGAAAGAAATCTTTAGAACCTATTTTAAAATCGCAATTTTATAAATTTGCAAAAAAATTATAATTTCTTTAATTGTCTCTTTTTCAACATAATATAATTTTTCTTGGAGTCATAATCATTTCCTCATTCAAATGTATAATTTCTTTTTTTATAATACGTAATTAAATCAAAGATTTCAGTAGGGGAGAGTGGGGTCAATTGTAACAGGGTACGATTGTAACAGAGCAAAAATTTCGAGTGTCGGGTTCTAGATTTGGTTCCTAGGTGGCGCACAAGGTGTATTTAATAAATC